TAATATTCCTGCAATAAAAAGGTTAAAAAAAAAATTTTAATGGCATCTTTAGTGCAGGACCGCCTGCCGCTGAATCGAATGCCTTTAGATAAGTGGACAACGAGGGAGCAGCTTTGTTTGGCAGCTGCGGTTTCTTGCAGTGGTGATCAGAATTGGATGTCGGTAAGTCGCAATCTGAAAGCCGTGTGTGCAAATGAAACCAACTCTCGCCCTGACGACTGGTTCTCACATAAAAATTGTGCGCTTCAATATGGCGATTTGTTGGAAAATGTCGAAACGCCTAAGCGCAAAAAGCGGACAAGCGAGAGTGGGAGTGGAGTTTCTTCGCCAACTACTGTGGCGACTCCAACTGACACCATATTGCGACGTCTAAATGAAGAACGCATTCAAGAGTTAAAAGCGGAGATACGCAAGGAGCAGGAAGAATTCGCACAAATTTACAGGGAACTTAAATCTTTGCAATCGGGAAACCTCAACGAGGACCAGTTACTTAAGATGTGGATCAGCATTGAAAAACAACAAGAAGAAAAACGAATTGAAGAAATGAAATTAGAGAATATAATGCGTGAGAGAGAACAACAACGGTTAGAGATGCAACGCAATTGGCGCACTTTAACTCCAGCTCCAACGCCTATAGAAACACCAACTCAGACCAGCAACACTGATACGTCATATGTGGATATGGATGTGGAAGAGGTATTCGGTGAGCCGAACCCTCAACATGGAGCTATAGTAGACTCTAATCAACAGCCGCCAAAAATGTCGGCCAACCAACCAGCTACATCACCTTTACTATCTTCTCTGTTAAAGACACCTTCAACTACCAATATCGCAGCGGCCTTATTAGCCCCTAATAATCCTACCGGTACATCGAACAACTCTGCAAGATCATCTGCGCCAACAATAACTACTCTATTAACATCTGGCTCTATTCCAAATAAAAACCAACCCGCTATTACATTAAAAGCAAATATACCTCCGCAGAAAGCTGCACAGATACTATCAAGTCCGATTAGCGGACCACCGGCAATAACTTGTTTGCCTGCTGCAAATAGTGCAGCACAAAATTTATTAAGCCCTTCACAGGCTGCTCCGACTCTGTCCATGTTACTAGAAAAAAATAAAGTATCGTCAAATGCAATGGCAAATATTGAAGATCGTAATGATGCATTTACAAAAAAAGCTGTCGATGCTACAATGCAGTCCCAATTAGAGGAAATCCCAAAAGAAGCATTCAATGACAACAAGGGTGAAATTCCCATGGATCTTGACGAAGATATTGTTACACATATTTCTGAAACTAATGTAAATATAATGAGCATAAATGACTCTGATGAACCTGACCCTAACGAAGAACAACAATTACTGGAGGTTTTTAAGAACATTGGAAACATTGATGAATTAGATATAGACGTAGCGGCTGTTATAGATGATGAAGAGGTGGATTTTCTCAAAGATATGGGTGCTGATTCACCAAATGAGAACACGAACGTTGATTTTGATCGTAAAGATGAGTCCGATATTGTACCAACGAAAGAAGAAAATGTTAAAGAAAATAATGGAAAGGAAGTTGTTATTAACCTTGAAGAGACTGATAAACGTTCCCCTGATTTAGCTATACTAAACAAACGGAGGAGCCAAATACGACTGCAACCAGTGGAGATAATAAACTCCGAAAAATAGACATAACTTCTAGCGACGACTCAAATGACAATATACCATTAGCAGCCGTTGCTTCTCTTGAGCAAAAGACAGCACATGACAAGGTTATTTCAAAGGAAAGCACAGATATCAACGCTAGAAAACGTTGATTTCGAAAAAAGCAAAACTCAAGAAGAGCAGACGCCCAACACACTCTTAAATTCATTCGAAGAAGATAAAGAACATGACAAGTTAGAGAAGCAACTAGCTGACTTAGTGGGGGAAAACGATATAGATGAAACGAAAAACTTAGACGAAGTAGGAAATTCACCAGGAAGTGAAAATTCAGATGTAATATTATTCCCGAGGATGACTCTAGTGGATATAAAGCAGGGCATATAGAAGGAGAAGTTAACAGTCGATGCAGAAGCAGCGAAAATCAAACGAGATTTGGAGTCGGATGTGGGCACTGCAGGTAGTTCAATACAGATTAGGAAATTTATTATTATTGAGCTTTATAAAGCGTTGTTCATTAACAATTTTTACTTCTAGAAGTCTGTAAGGACGCCCGTGGACATGACGTGGAAAGTCAGGAGTGGATGATGCTATTTAACAGCACAAACCAAGATGCGATTGTAAAAATGACACCTACTATTTCAATCGCCGATACGGATGAAGACTCGTCGACCACAGATATTAGTATCGTCACAAGAAAGGAGGACAAATCAGGAAATAATAGTTCAATCAAACATAGCACCACAAGCGCGTAAAGCTTACATGAAACGATTCGGCAAGACCAACAAAGTAAAACTGACGATGAATCTCCACACAACTCTCTTCATCTTCGTCATCATCTGTTAATCTGGCGCGTCCACCGCTTTTACGAAAACTACGTGATCGAGATCGCTCTGAAAGTCCTATGATAGACGGTGATCCACACACACCACACACTGTCATAGACAATTTAAACAGCCAACGGTTACGACGACGTTATTCCTCGACACCCATCAGCGAGAGCATTCCCAATTCACCTGTCTCAAGCGATCGTGAACGGGATGAATTAGAAACTCGCGTTTCTAAAAAATCACTCCTAGGTATTTTTCACGCGCTTCAGTACAGCAAAAATGCCAGTACCCTGCAGCGGGCATTTCACGAAGATTTTAAATTTGATGATATCTGTCTGCGACCAATGGATATGCTTTCGATTAGAAAACATATTGAAACTGGGAACATAAGCAATGTGAGTGAATTGCAGCGCGACATTATGTTAATGTGTCAGAATGGATTGATGTTATTTAAGCGCAACACTACGGGCTACAACGCTGCCAATGCGTTCATGCAAGAATGTCAAGCTATTAGAGAATTTGTTGGAATTGCATGTAGCACTGAACATGGTGTGCAAGTTAAGGAAAACAAGGAAGTCACCAAATCACAAAACATAACCGGAACAAGTACGAAATCTCGAAGTAGCTCGAGAAAGAGCCAACGCATCTCATAAGATTGATTTGAAAATTTATTTAAAAAAAATAATACCACTACAATAATACATACTACTTTTTTCTAATAAAAGAATAATATATTAGTTTTAATCTGTTATTATGTTAGGTTATGCAAATTCATATCGTACGTTTGCTGCAAGAGCGTCATTATCCAAAAATAAACCAGAACTGGAGAAAAGTGACATTATAGTTTAAAGTTTACATAGATTTCCATGGTAGAAATGAAGATACATTACCCTCTAATGAGTTATTGTAAATCGGTAGAGCCATGCAACACAACATAGAAGAAGAGATGGTGGATATTTCTATATACTTAACTAAAAAAAATGTTTTGTTTTTTGATTATGATACTCTTTCAGCAAAGGTACGATATATATATAATCCCCGTTATTCTAAAAACCTTATTACTAAATATCCTAAAATGTTAGTAAGAAGTTTTGTAAACGTCGTGCTCTCGAGCTAAAGCACACTGCTCTACGTCTGGGCATCTGAATCGCCGTAAACAGCGAGATAATTGAATATCACATTCACATAGCCGTGCGGCACATGAGCCCGGTCCACCGAATTCACCATGATCAATAGCACATAAGGGTTTTCGACGATAGCACTTCCAAACATATGGAACAAAATACTCCAAATATGCCACGCAATTACTAAATTCGTAGCATTTGTCGTGTAACTTACAGCAGCGATCGACATCATCAGTTGGTATGCCTGCTCCCGAGAAGCCCAATAACAGCCATAACCTTTGTAAATAAGAGGTTGACAGCCTGTTGAACATTGGATCATAGAGTACAGTGTAAGTAAATCGCGTTTTGATCGATCGGTGGAATTCCTGTTAAAAAGTAAGTTTTTAGTCAAAGCAACGATCGCATGGTGTGAACGGCAATGAGGTCATAGTTGTTTCCAATGAAGTCTGAGGATAGCCAACTTTTGATTCAACTATTTAACATTCATCCAAAATATATGCTACGTTCGTAGCTGGTGGAATTCAGTGATAGCATTTTCGTAGATTTTATTAAAAATCGGACTACGATGCACAGTGGTTCAAAATTGGCATTTTGGGTATGCAGATTTATAGATACATAATTAAGTTTTAGTGTAATAAGGTGCAAGTTGCAAGTAACTAAGAGTTCGAGTTGATTTTTTATAATATAAAATTAGTAACAATTTAGTATGCAGACGTGTCCGAAATGTTAGCGAAAAGAATTATTAAAAATCAACGCAACCTCTTGGCCACTTGCAAATCGCACTTTATTGTGCCAAAATTTGATTTTTTTCATTTTGGGGCAACAGTAGAACCGATTTTCTTCAAAATTGTTACGTTTTACTAAAAAAAATTAGTACAAACAAACAATAATTAAAAAATCGGGCACAACTGATCTCTTGCAAATTTTATTAGGTTTCATTGCAAACAATTTATCAAATTTAATGAAAAAGGAAGGCTCCAGTGAATTGTGAACACTGAAATGCCACTGAGCGATGGATTCAGTTTATAAGCTCTAGTTGTGTGATTTGTGTAGTCATAAGTGGGCGGTGTCACGTCCATTTTCCAAAAATGTGTGATAATCTCATTTACTGCTAAGATGTTATTGCAAACATCGATTTTGAGTGAAGCTTCGGTAGTATTTCTGTAAGTTACCGTTATATGGGTGGTGGGCGTGGTTATTGTCCAATTTCTAGAATTTTCTTAGTTTCACTCTAAGCAATGTTTATACCGCATTTGGTGCGGGTTGGTGAAGCGGTTACTGCGATAAAGCATTTCTTAATAAGTGGGCGGTGCCACGCCCATTTTCCATAAATGTCATAATTATCTTATTTTATGCCCAAAAATTCTACATCACATTCCAACTTTCAACAATTTGGATCGAGCATTTACGGAAATAACGCAGTTTTTGCATTTTTCGAAAATACCGTTATACGGGAGGTGGGCGTACTTACGTTAAAATATCTACATTTTTGCTCGACCTATCATGTACACGGACAGACGGACGGACGGACAGACATGGCTTAATCGATTTCTCCCTTCATTCTGTGAATTTTGTTATTTAACGGATGGTCCGTATAGTGTTTTTTTATTTGTATGTTATTTTGTCAGTGACAGCTCGTTCCCGCTTGACAGAAAATCAGTATCATATCTCGGCGGAACGAAATCAATAGCTTTGCGCTTGAAATGTTGCGAGATAATGCAAACGAATTGGACAACGGTTTTGCTGGAAAAATTATCTTTACAGACAACCAAAACTGCCGCATCTGGAGGCCGAAAAATCCGCACGTGATCGTCGAAAAGCCAACGCATCCTCATTTTTTCTTTGAAAATACTGCTGTAGACGCCATTTCGGTCAGATGTGAGCGTGATAAACGATATTTTGTGTCCGGTCAAGACATGAATGGACCTGTACGATCTTTGGTCTCAGCAGAATGGCATGCCTTGCCACACATCACTTGCCACAATCGATTTTTGTCGCACCAAGTTCGGTAATCGTGTTATCAGCCGTCTCGGCGATGTAAATTGGCCACCTTGGAACTGTGATTTGACGCCGTTAGACTTTTTTTCGCGTATGCAGATGATATCGACATTGTCGGTCTGAAACAAAGGCACGTTACCACAGTATTTTTCAGTTTAGAAAAAGAAGCTAAAGAGGTTGGTCTAGCGGTGAATGAAGATAAGACAAAGTACCTCTTGGCAACATATAAAAAGTCCAAACGTTTCGGTCACACGTCACTCTTGGAAGCTATAACTTTGAAGTAGTGAAGGACTTTGTCTACCTAGGATCCAGCATAAACACCATCAATAAGGTCAGTCTGGAGATCAAGCGAAGAATAACTCTGACCAACAGATGCTACTTTGGGCTCGGTAGGCAATTGAAAAGCAGAGACCTCTCTCGATGAACAAAAATTACGCTCTACAAGTCTTTCATCATGCCGTACCCTTAGAAGATGAAATTACAAACTGTAAGAGCTTTTTAGCGACATGCAAATAGTTATGCGATTGCGCTGTCTTGGACATGTTTTACGAATGGATGACGACGCTCTGGTGAAAAGATCCGCACCCACGGGTGGACAACAGAAGCAAGGGCGCCCTCGAACAAAATGGAAGGACCAAAAACAGGAGGACCTGTCTGCACTCGGGATGAGCAACTGGCGCAAATTCTCATTGGAGAGAGGCAATTGGAGAAGCTTTTTGGTCTCGGCACAAACCCACAAAAGGTTGTAGTGTCAAATAAGGAGAAGAAGACTTTTTTGGGAAGCCAGCCGAGGCAGCGACATGAATGAAATCGTGTACCATAAACAATGCGAATGTTTTCTCTTTCGAGTAAACTGAAAAAAAAAGATTTTTGTTAATTTTTTTAAGAACCCACTAGATACATTTATAACCCTTTACATATTTTTTTCAAGATATTGAGGACCTGGAATAAGAAAACTTAGCTTAACTCAATCGCTGCACTGATAAAGTGAGCTTAGGCTCCACAGTTCCTTTGAAAATTTAGTTGGAGCTGTCTTTTTATCACATGTCGACTACAAGCCGACAAAAATAGCAACATCCATTTATGTATGTACATATATCTCTGAAATAAACTTTCGTAAACAGACATGAAGCAATAAACGCCTATATGATGTCCTTATCTGCATACCTCTATTTTACTAGCGTAATACCTCAGGTTAAACGACATCTTTAAGTCTTTTTGAATATAACTCATAGAAAACCAATGATTGCCCACTACAGACATGTGGAACCTTTCACAGAACTAAAATTCACCTTTGCTCCCACTTTACTGAGGTACCGAATGGATCATTAACGCGTGCAATGTAAATATTTCCGTCATCATCAATATTCCCTGCATATCCTGTTTCATTCTCTAAATCCATAAGAATATCACTGGCCGGATATTTATCATTTGTATGGTACGCAACATTCACCGGTGCAATTGCGCCAGACCAACCCTCCAATCCCAACGAACCCCAAGCATTTGTAAGCGGCAATACACTGTCTTTAGATATATTCTCATCAATATTATCGCTGTGGACTGTCGCTGATGAACGTTTTTTATATAATTGCGCACGCATGTACTCAATTGTTAGATTGGGAAAAACTGGATCCACAAGATCAGTACGTTGCATCATCCACACTGAATAACCGTTTTTGACATTAGCGTCGGGTAATTCGAAAATAAAGGCAAATTTTGATTGTTTCATGACCGGCTCGTACATTTGTGGTATCATACGATTTACAAGATTCGTATTATTTGTAACGGTTTTAAAAGCATTTCGAATATCACTGAGAATTAAATCGGTGGTTGTTCGTGGATTCGATTCAAAATCACCACTCTGAGATGTACAGCTTTGAGTGAATAACACTAAAAAACTTAGGATAAACTTTTTTGGTTTCATTATCTTATACATATACATATGTATATGTATGTATGTATGCACACGTATATGCAGTACTAATGAAAATAAACCAACTTGATTCACTTTTCTACAAATCTGCGACCTTAAATTTTGTGAGCGTTTAGCTCGTTGCAGATATACCGTTAAAATGAAGTTGGTGAAAAGCAGCTATACGACCGCATTGGTACCCCAAAGCGGAATAAGTTTAAAATTTGAAAAATCTACTACTACAATATTAGGATTATGAAACAATCGGTTATGTGTGCACATACTAAATATTAGGGTGTTCGATTATTTTCTTTTTTTAACCAAACCGGGTTTCGAGTTATTCGAAAAGTTGTAATTAGAAAACCACTGGTTCCCGATTTTGAAATTAAGAAATCCGGATAAACCGGTTATACGCGCCCTTTTCCACAACCAATTCTTGAGATATTCGAAAATTTGCAATATGAAAAAAAACCGGTTCCCGATTTTGAAATCAAGAAATGCGTATAAACCGGTTATATTCGCCTTTTTCCAAAACCGCTTCTTGATATATTCGAAAAGTTGCAATTTGAAAAAAACCCGGTTCCCGTTTTTGAAATTAAGAAGATTTTGAATTTAAATAGTTTTCATACAGAGAAAATGCTTATGTTGGTATGAAGTCGCGAAAAAATTACAATTAATCTATAACAGTAAA